AAATACAATGATTATTTATTGTTAGGATATTGCAGCATGGGAGACCATTCTGCCCATTGAGCCTATGTTGGTGCTAGCTCACCCACTAAAACTACTCAGATTCCAATTCCTTAAACTTTCCCTATATATTTCCTCTTCCTTTGTTTATCTAATTCCCTTTTAAACAGTGTTCTGTTCTCGGCTTTAATTGTCACTCATGGCAATAAAATTCCAATGTCTCTGGGTGATTTTTTTTTACTTCTCGCATAATCCTTCCAGTGACAATCCTGAACTCATACCCTCTGCATTTGCCACCTATCGGCCCACTTTGTCAAGCAGTTTGTCATTCCTGACATTTCCTCATGTTCCTTACCGTATCCCTAAACTTCTTTCATCAGCAAATGTAGAAAATGCTCTCAATATGTTCATTTCTAAATCAATAATATAGATAGAAAACAATAAGGCGTTTCATGATAGGTCTTCATTATATTATACAGGCCACTAACTGCTACTTTAGGATTCTGATACACAATCCTTTATAAAGGGTGCTACATATATATAGATAGATATAGATATATGTAAGTTGTTGTACTTCAAATTTTATTCAGACCCTTATGGGAACAATAATGCAAAGCCTCATATAAAAAAGCCGTCCAGGTCAGAACAAAATACAAAGTAAAGCTCTCTCTACTTTGCTACCATTCTGTGCTTTAACCTCAAACCAGAAGAGCATCTCCTATTCCACCAGCAATTCCTTCTGCCACATCAGCTATTGGGATTTCCTGCTCTGAGCGATGCTGCCAATTGCGACTCCTACTCATTTCACCTGGGAGCTTCACAGCAGTAAGACAAATCCAGTAGAGAAAGTTATTTGTAGCACATTACTCTAAGCAGATTGGCTGCCACTTTCGCTTACAAATCCAGTCACTACAGTTTATAGAAACTCTGTGAGATGCTTTGTTCTTGATATTATAGTTGCTGTATCAAATGCAAGAATGATTATTAAGTATTATTATTACATTTGGATTTAAACCCTGTTCCCAGACATGAAAGGGCCAGGTTATGACCCACTGAGCTACAGTTCCATTAATAAGTTATCTTAGTAATGAAATCCAAAGTTATGATGCACTATTACTATTCGAATGTAGGTGTCAGTCTGGTTCAGTTGGTAGCATTCTTGCCTGTGTCACAAGGTAATGTGTTCAAGATCCATTTTGGGGCTTTGAACTCACATATGCTGGGCTGACACTCCAAAACAGTCCTGGGGGTGTGCTGCATTGTTGGAGTTGCCATCCGTCAGAAGTAATATTAAACCAAGGTCTTGTCTGCCTGTTCAGGTGGGCATTAGAGATTGCCTGGCACTACTTCAAAACAGAAAGGAAATTCTCTTGGTATCCTGACCAACCATCCTACAGATGGTATTGATCATTCACTTTGTGATTGTTTGTAGGAGCGAAAATTGGCTACCACATTTGCTTACAAAATACCAGTCATTACACTTCACAATAAATCCTGTGAAGCACTTTAATCAGATCATCCTCCTGACATGAAAGGTGTTATATCAAATGCAATAATTATTATTTTTAAATACAAACACAATTTGCACTATTATTTATCTATGTGTTAAATGTATACAGTAACTAAGTTAATTCATATCGTAACACTCACATAGTCTTATCTGCAAATAATTCTCCCTCTAAAGATTTTCTCAGGTGTGTTTATTTAGAAACCATTGACTATGAGTCTAACAGGAAACTATAAAATGTTTATGGGATTTGAACATGCTGGTGCCACTGTTAGCAAAAAGGGGTTTGTGTGAAAACATCTTTTATATACATATATATATATACATATATGCATCTAAGCCTTGTGTGATCAATTTAAAATTGCACCTTCTATGCTGCCTCTCTTCTATTTGTACACAAAGTTTAACCTTTGTCTACAGACCCACACAAGAGACTGTTACATCTCCTGGAAGCAAAGTATGATTTTTGGTTTAAAAAAAACTATTGCATTAGATGACAATGAATCATTTCAGTTCATGTTATATGCTGAAATGACAACCTGCCAAATATGCTGCTACTAAGTCGCTATATATATTTTTTGCTGCAGTTGTGTGATTTGATCAACTGTGAGGACAGAAGCTTTTCTTTAGGTTTCTGAAAATCAGAACTGCTTATGCGAGGGCGGAGTACAGCAATACATCCTAGAGGTGGAGGGAGATAGGAATAACAAATTTGCAAATAGTAAGTACAAGTAGACCCTGCTATAAAGCACCCCAGTTAGTTCACCTCCACTAGAAAGGTTGTAGGAGCAATCCTCACTGTATTATGCTGAGGATGTCATATTTAATTTATTTCAGTCTTTTGGGATTCACTTAAAATGAATCCACAGTGATCTTAGGCAACAGGGCTCAGCCGGAGCTGCCCAGAATTGGGCTTCTTATATAGAATTTAAGCTCCATATCAACCTTGTCTTCTCTGACTATTAGGAGACTTGAACAATACAAAATTACATTTGTATAGTGCCTTTCACTTCGGGATGATGTCCCAAGGCGCTGGAGCACTGCAAATTTCTAGTACCTCCAGAATCATAAACTGTTCAGTACATAAACTGTTCAGTTCGACCCATCAATGCTATCCTAGTGTTTGTCTCCACATGAGATATGTAGTCTAATCCCACATTGCTACTTGCTGCCTATACTCTGTAATGTTCTTTAATCAGATCAATGGAAGGTTCTTCTGACTACCATTGACTCACATTCTGTGAACAAGAAGCACTTAGAGTCAAGGAAACAACATTGTCCTGGTAATGTATCTTCGTCAATGCAAAACCACAGGAACACCTTGTGTCTGTTGCTGGCAGAGACATAGAAATGAGCAACCAAAGTTATTTTTTTCTTTCCCTAAGGGGATATCTGGCAGTTTCTTTACAATTTATTTAGTAGGCCCTTCACTCAGTTTCCTTTGTAAAAACTCTCAGAAAATCCAGATAACCCTATTGGGATGCCTGGAGTAACATTAACTACTTCCTAAATTCAATCGCTGTATTCATAAGTATTTTTATATTTATTTTCAGTGCAACTAACAATGCAAGTAAATGCGCGTATTTTTAGTAGCTTTGTTTCTCAACGTTAATGCACAAATGTCACCTTTTTAATAACAGCTACAAAAATTGAATTAACAAATGTTAACTATCAAGTTATAATGTGGACACCTTTAAAGTTTTACTACAAAAACCTTCTCAATCACAGATTTACAATGCTTTGTATTGGTGACTTAGTCCACACTAATCTGGAGTTAACACCATTGATAGCTGCACAATGGTTGCACAATGACTTCCCTAATTAGTGTTTAAAACAACTAATATTTTACATTGATTATAATATTTAAAAGGGAGATAAATAGATCCTTGGGAAGTGAATGCATTAAGCAATAAGAGAAAAAGGCAGGGAAATGGCATGAAAAGATCAATGATCTGCACTGGCTCAATGGACTGAATGGCCTACTACTGCTTTTATGATCTTATGTTAACATATAATTGTGTCTTCTAAAGTCATCTTAACTGCAGTGTATAGAAAGGATTAGATATTTTCAGTTTGAAAAGCAATGAACATCATATTTAGTTATATATGTATCAGTATCGTTTGGTCTGTTTACTGCTGGTGGCAGAGTAGAAAAGTTAAGTAGTGTGACGAGGTAGCTTTATAGCATCAATATCTTGTAAAATCAAGAGTTCTCAAAAACAGTTGTTTGGGAATAAAATTTCAATTATTATTATCCGCCAGATAAATTGGTCCTTCTCCTCCTGGCTGTGTGGGATGTTGCTGCATGCAAATTGCCTGCTGTGTTTCCCACAAAATCCAGTCACTGTGCTTCCTCCATAACAAAACAATAGTAAATTGGTCATTTTCAATCCACGATTGATTGTGGGACACTGCTGTGCGCAATTGGCTGCCGCATTTCGCCCACAAATATACGGTCAATTCACTTTACAGTATATTCTGTGAAGCGCTTTGAGACATCTAGAAGGCGTGAAAAGCGCTATATCAAATGCAAGGATTATTATTAATAGTAATTACTGCAAAGTGCTTTGAAAAGCTACAATACTGTAAGCGCTATATAGTTTGAAGCGCTTTGAGGCATCTAGAAGACCTGATAAGGCACTATATCTTATGCAAGGATGATTATTATTATATCAAATGCAAGGAATATTATTATTGAACTTTTTTCAATTATATTATAAAATCAATTGTTCCAAAGTTAGGTTCTTTAGGGCTTTCTTCCCTGCCAATGCTTCTTTGAGTTTTATCCCTTTTCCTCTCCTCTCCTGAAGGTGCTTAAAATCCTTGTGTTGCCTCCTATTGGGGTATAATTCTATGGATGACAGGCACCCTCTGGTTACGTCTGTCAAATGGCCTTTCTTTGTGTTGGTTTTGGCAGAGTACTCGGCTACAGGCACCATCGCAGCCAAGAATGATCCTAAACTTAGCCGATTTCCACTAACGGCCCTTCCAGAGGAGGTTTCTGGGTGATCATCAGAAGCGGGATTCCCGGCCAATTTTCTTCTCCTTAGCACAGCCAGCCTGGCTCATCTGAAGGACTTGGAAGGGCAGAGCAGTCACTGGAAGCAGGGATTCTTCCCACTCACCTCCTGTTATTTCCGCAAGCCAAAGCCCTAAAGGTAGGGTGGTCCTAGTTGGACAAGCAGCAGTAAGCTTGCCAAACAGTGCTTTCAACAGCGAAAGTTTACGGGATTTAGCTGCTTAAATTCCAGCAGTACCCCAACACCTCGCAGTCCCTAAGCTTTGATTTTTGCCCACCTGGGCCTAATACTCCGTATAAGTAGCCAGGATGTGTCCCTCCAGGGAGAGTCCATTTGAGGCACAGGGAAATTTTGTCTAGGTGGCATAAATATGTGTATTGTAACATAATACAAACAGTATAAAGTGAAGCTCTGCAAGACCATCCTTCATGCTGTTGACAATTTAGGCTTGTTTGACAAAAGACAAGCTTGCAGTATTACATTACTCCATTTTAATCAGAGAAATAAAGACGTTCTCTCAGACTTTATTTTACGCCATTCAAAGATGGTACAAGAAAAAAAGGTCTACAGTTACACTCATTTAGACTACATATGATAGGAATGTCAAATCCTGGACGGCACTACAGCTGGTTGTAAAAATGCTTTTCATTCTGTTTAAATGCTGCAACACAGTTGCGGATGTGAACCTTCAGCTCATGATCTGCGTTCCTCCCACCTACATGCAAGCCAAGCATCCATCCTGCCTTTAATTAAGTATAACATTCCACCAAGTAAACAGGATTAATGATAGGGTGCAGTTCACTGGCTTGTCACAGTTGTCCCTGCCCTTCCTCTTCCTTCCCACCCCCTCAACAACACACACAGGCAAACACACATACGTTGTGCTGACACAGCCTTGTTTTTTTGGATCAGCTTCATTTTCAAGCAACAACAACCTTCTTGTTCTTTCCCCCTTCAGCAGGCCAGGAATGCCATTCCAGTTCTGCGGTAAGCACTCTGTTTGGGGGAGAAAAAAACATAGTTAGCATTCAATATAATCACATTACCTTCATGAATATTTTGTAATGTCTCAGGAACATTCATCTAGAAATTAATACTTTAAGTATTGTAAAATACATTTTGCATTTTGTCCACAAAATATAGTCAATTCACTTTACAGTATATCCTGTGAAGCGCTTTGAGATGTCTCGAAGATGTGATAAGGCGCTATATCAAATGCAAGGATTATTATTAATTCAGGATGCTACGTAAAACAAGCATCAAAGTTGACCACCAATAAGGCTCACCCAACATGAACCCCCCTCCCCGGGGTGGGGGTCATAATGTTAATAATGGGTCTTATGCTTGATTTACATAAAACAGATTAAACTTCATCAATAAAATACATGAACATACATTTGAAGAAATTTCAGCAGGTTAGTTTAAATGTTACATCTCTTCGTACAGTGAACACCAAGCCAAAGTCCTAATGGGCTTTCCTAGCTGGAGAAGTAGCAGGAAGCTTGCCAAACATTGCTTTCAACGGTAAACTATGTGGTTTTGGCTGGTTAGAACTACCCCAACTCATACTCTAGGATCCCCAAGCCTTGGCTTTGGCCAACCTGCACCAAATACTCTCCAGAATTAGGTACCAAGAATGAGGCCTCCTGGAAGAGCATGCTTCGTCCATTCCAATACACAGGAATTTCCCTAAACATGGAATTCTCAGTTTGGTTTGGATACTATTAAGCATGGTGATGGATTTCTTCATGTGTCAGACACTGAACTGACTCCCCAAAAATGCTGCATACATGCAGGAAAGGGGATATGGAGGATTGGGATTTCAGGTGAAGTATAAACACTGCCACAGACTAGTTGGGCTGAATGGCCTATTTCTGTGCTGTAATGATCTTTGTAATTCTACTTAAAATCTCAAATGTCTGCCAAGTTAGATCTAAAACATAAATTTGAAAAGTTATTTATCTTCACCCCTCCCCTGGAGAAATGAATATGTAACTAAATACACAGACACATAAACACAACCTCTGAAAATCATATGCCATTTGCTGGTCTGAAACATAACCCTGTAGGCCAGGCTTAGTTCCATAATCCTATCCCAGTTAACCTTTTCACTGCAGACCATGTATTATTCAGATTTGCTTAGAATTTCTCCTCATGATATTTGGTTTACTACATATCTATTCATTTTGTGCAACCTTTAGATACTACCTCACCCTGACCATTTCCCCCCTGCTCGGGTCCCGACCCAACTGTCCAGTGCCTTGGGACGTCCTCTCGACGTGAAAGGCGCTCTATAAATGAAATCTTGTTGTTGTATTATATTTGCACCATTTATCCATATGAAAAAAGCTCCTAAAATGAACTCAATTTCAAACAAAATAATAATGTAAAGCAAGTAATTAAGCCAATATAAAATATAGCTCCACAGAATCCGGAATTTAGGAAAGGATTATAACACTCTCAAAACACATACTTAGTGCTATAATTTTTAAATAACGTTTTATACTACTTTTACCGATTGAAATGGCTCCATATGTTTATAGTGTCATTGATATAAAATAATCATTCTTGCATTTGATCTAGCACCTAAGGTGTCAAAAATGTCTGTAAGAGACCCAAGGAGTTTTCTGTGAAGTGTAGTGAATGTGTATTTGTGGGCAAACATTCCACGCTCAACACTGAAGGTTAAAGGCTTTGATATTCTCTGATGTTTGAATTTTGAGAGTAAAGGGTCACTTATTGAAAGCTTCAACATGTATGGTTCAGAAGAGGTGCATGCGTTTCAATGAATCTGTGACTGATAGTTGAACAATTGGCTAACCGCCATCTCCTGGAATCTCTTAAGTCCTCTAAGGAAAGCGCATACAATGAGCCGAGATGTTTCTTTGTGTGACAGATTTGATTTTCTTATGTATGGGTTTCTCCTTCATAACTGTTCCTGTAAGTAGATCTCTGTCTCCTATGACACAGGAGCTGTACCCTACCCATAGTCTGGCTTTCATTGCTGGAATCCCCAGAGCTAATGATTGCCCCACTTGTAATACTGCAATCTGCTCACTATTTACAAAATCTTGAACCAGGCTAACAAATGCTGTTCAGTATGGTTGACAGTGCTGTCAAGACCTGCGGGTAACAGACTAAACTACAGGCAGGTGTTGTTATAACTTGCCCTTTTATAGTGTGTTCACACTGAGGGGATATACCAGTAGTACGGCACATTTCCAGCAGCTGGTGCATAATGCGCATATTGAGAAAGGTTTCCTCTCGTCTCTGCAACTGTGCGAAACACCACAAAAGGGGTCGTCCAGATTACTGAATGCAGGAAATTAGGTCAGGGACGACCTGACCACCCTGAGCACTGGGTTTAATTTTAAGGACCTAAACCACTGACTGTTGTCACAAGATGGCCCTATATTATATTTATTTCCAATTAAACTGCAATACGAAACAATAAATTCAAAATATTAAAACCAAATGTATATATAACACATAAAAACATCTGTGGTACAATCTTATAGTAATAACAGCCCTTGAATGTGAGAATATTCCAGCTATTTTTCTGTACAATAAATTCAGTTTTTCTTGTTCATTTGTTCACATTTTCCTTTTTGTCAGGCACAGATTGTTGGTAAGCACTCCAGGCACTCAATACCTTCCAAAAGTAAGCTTACTGAAAGTCAACACTTTTAACCTTTGGTGTACCAAATATATCGTCTCTGGGACCTCTCAGGAGTAAAGGTTTCCCAGCAACATCAAAGATATATTTATCCTTATTAGAGACAGCATAACATTTGTTTTCTCAGGCCTCATTGACTCCATCTCTTGAACATTTCCTATTCTAAATCAGATATAACATACAAACTTTTAATGTGAACATTTGAGGAGCGTTGTATCTTTTGGATGAGATGTTAAACCAAGATCCCATCTGCCTGTTCAGGTGGATGTTAAGGATCCTATGGAGCTTTTGGAAAAGAGAGTTTCTCCCAATGTTGTGGCAACAATCCCCCAGATAAAATTGGTCACTCATTCCATGGTCACTCATTCCAGCATTTCATTGCTGTGTGAAAACTGGCCGCTGCATTCACCTATTGCCTCAGATTAACATCTCATCCAAAGGACATGACCTTCAACACGGCAGTGCTCTCCAAGTACTGTACTGGAGAGTCAGCGCTGACCATGAACTAAAAGTTTTATACAGACCAGAAGGTTGGAGGTTAAACCACCTGTCACTACACTCATTGCGTATCACAGGAAAATCCTGTGAAGCGTTTTGTGACGTCTCAACAATGTGATAAGGTCTTATAATGATTATCATTATAAAACAGATTAGTGTTTACGGATTTTTTAAAAAAACTTTTCTATCCCCATTCTCTCCTCTCCTGAAGGCATTGATTCATGTAGGAATACACTTCAGTGGATGCCAGGATTAGCTCCAGTACCTTGCCAAAGTGACTACAGTTCATATTCGAGTCAAGAGCATCCTTGTTGCCAAGCTATTTGACTGCGGAGAGTATTATAACTGAACTCAATCCTGTCCTCACCTGACATCTACACATGCAAACTGTCTGGCAAGGGTTACTTAATAACAATGATGAACAGGAATCCAGGCTGATATTCTTACTCCCAAGGCATTGAGATCAGTTTTAGCACCTCTTTAACTCATGCAACCTTCTGGTCTGTATGAAACTTCTCTTTTATGGTCAGGGCTGACATTCCAGTGCAACATTTGGGGAGCACTGCAGTGTTGAAAGTCCTAGCCTTTGGATGAGATGTTAATCCAAAGTCCTGTCTGCCTGTTCAGTTTGCATAGATGCTAAAGATTCCATGAGTACTCTTTGATGACACTAACTGAAAAGATAAGGGAGTTTCTCCTGGTGTCTTGGCCAGTAATCCTCCAGATAAATTTGTTATTTACTATATATGGGACACGCTAAGAGCTACACTGATGTATTTTAATCATTGAGTCATTGGCAGAGGTAAACCAGTTTGACTTCATTAGCCTAAGTGTCACACATGCATACGTCTATCAGCAATACAGAATAACAGCTTAATTTGAACATTGAATCAAATCAAAGATTTTGACTTGTCACACCAGGCAACAACCTAAACTTTAGATCAAACAGCCAAGAATTTCTGACTCATAAAACTTGCCATGTGTAGGATTTATGCCTGCATTTAAAACCTCTCATTGCAACTCAAAGGGACACCAGCTTGAGCATCGACAGTAAAATATCTGCTTGGAAAACTGCCCAAAAGCAGATGGAGGTGGTCTCGGGTTCACTACAAACATTATGCTAAATGTACTTAATCATGCAGATTAAAACATAATCAATCTTTCAAATGCATTTTGTGGAGAAAATAAAACTTAGATGACAAGCTAACTCATCAAAGGTTACCAATTTCAGACAACAAGCTGAAATATATAATTTTCCACAATACTTTTTTTGATAACATACAAAAGCTGAGGAAAGCTGAGATACAGTGAGGTTATATAATGTGGCACTTCAAATCCAAGCAATCCCAGCCTGTCAGCGCCTTGGGACGTCCTCCCAACGTGAAAGGCGCTAAACAAATGTAATTTTGTTGTTGTTATGGTTATAATGAGGGTTTCACTGCGCATTTGGGCAGCCAGTTGATTTGGTACCCATGTGCTGGTCGGTAACTGTGCTGAAAAAACGGCCAACTTCCAGACCATCAGGTCACTGCTGACATCACGTCTGGTTGTGATGTGCACATCAGACAGAAAGTGATATTATCGAACACCCTGAAGGCAGTCATTTTTAGTGTGCAGGAACGCACAAGATTGGATGAAGAATAGATGAAGAATACCTTTTGGCCAATCCAATCTCGTCATTCCAGAACACCCACTGTCCCTCTCATCATTGTATCACGCTGCTTTTAAAGAGTCCAGTGTCCTGGTCTCAAATACCTTTCATGGTAATCTGTTCCAGTTATTAAAATGTCTGACCTGGTGAGTGGAGCCATTGGTAAAGAAA